TGAGAGAGAAAGAGAGAGAGAGAGAGAGAGAGAGAGCGAGCGAGCGAGCGAGAGAGAGAGAGCTCGAGCGAGAGTGCGCGAGAGAGAGAGCGCAAGCGAGAGGGCGCGAGAGAGAGAGAGAGAGAGAGAGAGAGAGAGAGAGAGAGAGAGGGGTCACATCACAGTGGAGTCAGCTGTCTTACTGCACACATACCAGCTTCATCACTGCTGTCACGCGACTCTGTTCCCCTTTCGGGCTCTGTCTTTACATTTCCGACGAGTGCTTGTGGTGTTCGGCCAATCAAAATGCACAGGGTCAGCTGGCCAATCAGAACAGACTGCGCTTGACGGAAGGAGGGACTTTGTAGAAAACTAAGCGTTTGAGAGAGGACATAGAGGACCTACAATAATGTACAGTATTTGAAAAATAATGTGTTTTTTGAACATTAAAGCATGTCAACATATTCTGTTACACCAAATACACAAAATAATGAACTTTAAAAAAGCATCATATGACCACTTTAATTACAGTACTTAAATATGTGTTCAAATTGTGTTTTACAATATTTAAGGAATGACACATTTGTAGTCTGATGTAGGCTTTAACAGCCTTTCCCATCAAGTCAAATTAGTTTTTATTTGTATTATTTGTTATTATTGTTTGTTCCATATGCCCTGTCTTTAGGTCGAAGTATCAGGAGCTGAAAACAAAAAAATATTTAAGAATTATAAAGGCAAGAAGACTAAATGCATGTTGTATTTCTCTGTAAATAAATGCATTTACTTCAAGGGAACAGCAACTCCGTCCTTTGTTGGTGTCAATTAAGGCAAGTTTGTTTTTCCTCAAGTCCTCTATAAGACAAAACACAGTGTTCACCTGATTTCATTTCAATACGTTTAAAACTAAGATGAGTCAAACATACTTTAATAAAATGATTATGTAATGCTCTAATGAGAACACACAAAAAGAGTGCAAATCACATGGCAACTTACATATTAAATTTGCTTGACCTTGAATCTTCTAACCATTCTTGCCAGTCATTCCATTCAAAGTATTCATCACAGTTACTGTATTTACAGGGACTGTGGACAGTCGGATACTGCCCTTGCCACTGCTCTGTCAGTGTGTTCAGCCGTATCATAATCTTCCTTATCACTTCCCATGCTTTCTGGATGTCTTCTGAAGTTTCAACTACAAGAAGGAAAATTATTATCGCAACATATAATCATTGCCGTTAATAGTGGTTTTTACTGTACATTTCTGCCATATGGACAATGGACATCCCCTTGACATAGTCACCACTGACAAGCTACTCCTAAATATAATGTAGAAGCTATAATTTTCTGTGAAGAGAATTCCGTTAATCTGCTTTGCAATGATTTGTATTGTGAAAAGCGCTATACAAATAAATGTGAAGTGAATTTAATTGAATGTAGAAGACAAAAATTTCATCCCCTAGTGCCAACAATATGTACAATAAAACTAAGAAAGTATAGATTTAATAAATGTTTAATTATATTTTAGAAAAAATATAATAAATATTAATGCAGCCTTTGTGACCATTAGAAACGTCTATAATAAAAATCTTACTAAGCCCAAATCTTTGAAGAGTAGTGTATTTATATTTAAAGTATCTGCTTGAGTGGCTACAAATGTAAATCATTGCTATACAAAGTGTAATAAAACAGGGGACTTACGCTCAGTCTCTTTGCAGCGGATCTCAATAAACTGGTCCTCATCACG